GGAGGGTGGGGCCCAAGCCGTTGGGGGGGGCACCCCGAGGGAAACAACAGCCACCAGGCCCCTCCCTGCGCTCCTCAGCCTGGGTCCCTCGGCCCTGGCAGAGCACACAGCCTCCCGCCAAACACCCGGCTGAGCAACAGACGCTCCCGTGGGCCAAACCCTCCGCCTCTGCGCAGCGCTAGGGCTCCTTGGGCCAAAGCAAGCTCCCCCAGCCCCCATGGGAGCCAGCCTGGGCCCCAGGGGTCTGAACGCCACAGAGGCGTCCAAACGAACAGCACCAGAGGGCCCAGGCACACAACGGTCATTTGCTAAGAGGCCTGGGGGGGGGTTACACCCCAGGGTGCTGCCCTGCAGCCTGCGCCAAGCTGGGACAGGATCTCGATCAGGGATGAGGCCTGCCGGGAGGGCAGGGGACTGGATTCGATGACTCCCGAGGTCCCTGCCAGTCCTAGTGTCCCGTGAGTTGGGAGGCCGGCAGTGGTCCCTCCTCTCACCTTCGGCACTGAGCAGTCTGCGGTCCCGGTACATGTCCGTGAGGAAGAGGCTGTTCACCAGGGTGGATTTCCCCAGGCCAGACTCCCCTAGAGAGCAGAAGCAGAGGGGTCACGGAGCTCCCAAGCAAGGCAGGAGGGCCCCTGTCCCAGGCCCTCGAGGAGACAGGATCTGCACCTGCTGCTCCAGGAACAAAGGCAGCACCGGAGACCCTGAGTGTCGGGGATTTCTGCCGTCAGCCCGCCCCAAAGGCAGCTGCCGCGGGGCCTTGGCTAGAGCCCGGGCACCCCAGGGCCTCTGGGGAGAGGAATGGGACGCACTTCTGCTCCACGGCTGCCATGGCTCCTACGGAGCGAGGGTGACCTGCCCTGCTGGGGTCTCTTCTCCCTGGGAATTCCCCCAGTGCTCCCTGCCAGGGCGCCTACCTGCCACCATCAGCGTGAAGTCAAAGCCCTTCTTCACCGACTTCCGGTGGACCTGATTGGGGAGCGTCGCGAACCCCACGTACTCCTTATCGTCCTGCAGGGGAGAGCGGCGTGAGTCGGGAGGAGCACCCGCTGGGGGGGGAGAGCGCTCGCTGGCCTGCCCCGCGCTAGCGCCGCTCTTGGCCAGGAGCCCAGGGGAAAAGCCTCGTGTCCCCGGCCTCAGCGTCGGGCCCGCTCCTGGATCTCCCAGGGAGCTGGGCGCACTCGGCCCCGGCAGGATTTCGGGTGAGCCCTGTCCTCATGCAGAGTCCTGGGGCCCTGGCGTCTCACGGGCAGGCCCCACAGCCCTGGCTCCCTAGGCCGGAGAGGCCTGCCCCAGGTGCACCGTACCTCCGAGGAGTCGTAGGGATCCAGCTTGCCCCAGGGGCTCCTGGGCCGTGAGGGGCTCAGTGGTGCCGGAGCCGCGATGTGCTGCTGCGGGCAGTCCAGGGGCCGAGGCCGGGAGAAGGGCTTCAGCTCCCTCTGGTCTAGCAGCTCATTGGCCCCGGGCCGGGCTACGCTGGGGACCTCGCTGGGATCCACGTGGCCCTGGCCAGGGGCCCTCTGGCCCTCCTCTGGCTCCGCTCTCCTAAAGCTCTCGTCCGAAGGGAACTCCCTCAGGAACTGGGCCAGCTCGGCCTCCTCCGAGTCTTCCTTCAGGAAGCGCTTGATCTGCAGAGATGGGGGCAGGGCAGAGAGAGGAGCAGGCTGGTTTAGAGAGTTAGACACGAGGGAGCGAGAGCCGCGGAACCAGCCCCTGCGCGCAGCCTGGTCATTCCAGCTCAGGGCTTGTTACCTGCGTCTGCAGGTTACATTCAGCTCAGCAGTTGCCCCATGGGCTAGCCCCATAGGAGTCGTTAGTGCGACGCGTGCAAGGAAGGCACTGTGCACTGCTAGCCCTGTAGGAGGCATTAGTGCAAGGCGTGCAAGGAAGGCGCTGTGCACCGCTAACCCTGTAGGAGGCGTTAGTGCGAGGCGTGCAAGGAAGGCGCTGTGCACCGCTAGCCCTGTAGGAGGCGTTAGTGCAAGGCGTGCAAGGAAGGCGCTGTGCACTGCTAGCCCTGTAGGAAGCATTAGTGTGAGGCGTGCAAGGAAGCTGCTGTTAATAATCGTATGCCCCAAGAAGGCCTGGGAAAGCATGGGGAGAGTCAGGACACTGAAAGATCTTCCTTGCACCCCAGGGATTCAGGGCCCCCGTGGCCAGCGTTGGGGTCCCAGGGGAGCGGGGTGGGATGGCCTGGGCTGGAGGGACGTTCCCATGCAGCTCCAGCGGCAGCTCAGACTCTTACTGCTTGCTCGCCAGGGGTCTCGGCCAGCTCCGTGGCACGCTCCGGGAGGCAGGGGCTGCCTCCTTCCCCCATGGCCGGCTGCGCTGCTCAGGGCTGGGCAGCTGCGCCCCCTGCCCGCTCTGCGGCCTGAGTGCAGCGGGGTGGGGCGAGAGGAGAAGAAATCGAGTCAGGGACAAGTTCAAAGGCCGCGGAAGGAGGCTGCTGGGTGGGAACCTCCCCTGTCCCCATCCCGAGCTGCCCAGCTCCTGAAGGCAGCACCGCCTGGCTGGCCAGTGAGCCCCTCACAGCCTCACTACAGCCGCGACAGCCCCCCACCTCCTGCTCGCAGACCGGCCAGGGCTGATGTAGGCCCCACAGCTCTCACCTTTGGATACCTCCTCTCCCATCCCTGGCCTGGTCCAGCAGAGGCAGGAGCCTCCCAGGGCATCTCAATGGCCCGTTTCCATGGGCTGAGCCTGGGTAGGTCTGTGTGACATGCGAATATCTGCACTGCGCACAGCCCTGGATACGTGGGACGCCTGTGTGACAGACGGGTATCTGCACTGCGCACAGCCCTGGGCACGCGGGACGCCTGTGTGACAGACGGGTATCTGCACTGCGCACAGCCCTGGATACGTGGGACGCCTGTGTGACAGACGGGTATCTGCACTGCGCACAGCCCTGGATACGTGGGACGCCTGTGTGACAGACGGGTATCTGCACTGCGCACAGCCCTGGATACGTGGGACGCCTGTGTGACAGACGGGTATCTGCACTGCGCATAGCCCTGGATACGCGGGATGCCTGTGTGACAGACGGGTATCTGCACTGCGCACAGCCCTGGGCATGCGGGACGCCTGTGTGACAGAACGGCAGCTGCACTGCCCTGGGCACGCGGGACGCCTGTGTGACAGACGGGTATCTGCACTGCGCACAGCCCTGGGCACGCGGGATGCCTGTGTGACAGACGGGTATCTGCACTGCGCACAACTCTGGATACGTGGGACGCCTGTGTGACAGACGGGTATCTGCACTGTGCACAGCTCTGGATACGTGGGACGCCTGTGTGACAGACGGGTATCTGCACTGCGCACAGTCCTGGATACGTGAGACGCCTGTGTGACAGACGGGTATCTGCACTGCGCACAGCCCTGGGCATGCGGGATTCCTGTGTGAAAGACGGGTATCTGCACTGCGCACAGCCCTGGGCACGCGGGACGCCTGTGTGACAGACCTGTATCTGACCTGCGCACAGCCCTGGGCACGCGGGATGCCTGTGTGACAGACGGGTATCTGCACTGCGCACAGCCGTGGATACGTGGGACGCCTGTGTGACAGACGGGTATCTGCACTGCGCACAGCCCTGGGCACGCGGGACGCCTGTGTTACAGACGAGTGTCTGCACTGCGCACAGCCCTGGGCACGCGGGATGCCTGTGTGACAGACGGGTATCTGCACTGCGCACAGCCCTGGGCATGCGGGACGCCTGTGTGACAGACGGGTATCTGCACTGCGCACAGCCCTGGGCATGCGGGACGCCTGTGTGACAGACGGGTATCTGCACTGCGCACAGCCCTGGGCATGCGGGACGCCTGTGTGACAGACGGGTATCTGCACTGCGCACAGCCCTGGGCATGCGGGACGCCTGTGTGACAGACGGGTATCTGCACTGCGCACAGCCCTGGGCATGCGGGACGCCTGTGTGACAGACGGGTATCTGCAGTGCGCACGGCCCTGGGCACACGGGACGCCTGTGTGACAGACGGGTATCTGCAGTGCGCACGGCCCTGGGCACACGGGACGCCTGTGTGACAGACGGGTATCTGCACTGCGCACGGCCCTGGGCACGCGGGACGCCTGTGTGACAGACAAGTGAGGGCCCACACACACCGAGAACAAAGACCTCCAGCCACACACTGGATATGTCTACACTACAGCGTTATTTTGCAATATCTTATTTTGAAATAACGCGTCTACACACAAAATGCGTTTTGAAATAGCGTGTCCACACTGATTGGACGCTGAATCACGTTTAAGGCCAGACGGAACTGGGTCTGGCAGGGTATCAGGTCAGAAGTTACCTTGTGGCCAGGGCGGCCAGCAGGGCACACTGGGAAGGGCTGGAGGCCCCCTATGTCGAAATAAGCGTCTACACAGCACTTATTTCGAAATAGCAATTTCAAACTTGGCGCTATTCCTTGGGGAATGAGGTTCACCAATTTCGAAAGAGCAGTTGGCTTGTGTAGACGCTAGGACAGTTCTCTCGAAATAACTTTGCTGTGTAGACACAGCCACAGTGTCTAGACTGCATCCCTCTGTCAAATCAAGTACTTCGGAAGTGCAAATGAGCCTGGGATTTAAATATCCCGGGCTCATTTGCATACTGACTTCCCGATGCTGTGCCGCCCAGGCTGAGTGTCCAAAGCGAAAGCACCGTGCAGCCAGCGGGGAGTTCTCCGGCCAGGCCCTCTCCTCGTTTTGTTGGGCGTCCCGGCCAGACACGGGCTTCGTTCCACACGTTGCTCAGCCTGGGACTGAGCCAGAGGCTTTCCCGGGCCAGGCCCAGGCCTGCAGCTCCCCGGGACGGCTGCACGGGAGAGGGGGAGCTGGGCAGATGCAGGGCAGCAGGTTCATGGTGAGGTGGCTGCTCTCGCTGAGTGTGGGTCCCTGGGTGGGACACTGGGAGGGCAGAGCCCCAGAGGCCAGTGCAACCCCCACCAGCCACCCGCCCCCCTGCCACAAGGCTCGGGGAGTCGAGACATCAGCTCCCACCCCCAGCCTGGAGGCTCACTGCTAAGAGCTGGAGGCTGGCTGGGCTCAGCGCCCCAAGAAGAGGGGCAGGAGCGCAGAGACTCAGGGCCGAAGCCCACCACTTAGAGACACGCAGCTCAGTTCTCGGCTTGGAATCTGCCTAGATCGGAGCGGAGCCCCTGGGGCGCAAGATCCCAACCCCCAGACCCAGCCGAGCACAAAGACAGCGTGGGCGGGAGCTGCCTTCCCAGCGTGCTCCGCCCATCTGCGTCTGCCCAACTGTTGCACCTGTTCTGGGGTGTCTGTGTACCCCAAACAAGAGAGTCCTCTCCGCTTGCTGCACCTGTCCAGGGGGAGTCTGTGTACCCCAAACTAGACAGCCCTGCACACATGCTGCACCTGTCCAGGGGGAGTCTGTGTACCCCAAACAAGAGAGTCCTCTCCGCTTGCTGCACCTGTCCAGGGGGGTCTATGCACCCATAAACAAGACAGCCCTCCCTACATACTGCGCCTGTCCAGTGTGAGTCTGTGTACCCC